AACTCATGCAATATTATTCAAAATGGGTGACCCTGGAGGACATTATGCTGAGTGAAGTAGCTCAGTCACAAAAGGACAAATACTGCATGGTGCCATTGTTGTAAAGCAGGACTGACCTCGGGGTTGGGGGGAGACTGAGAAAGATGGATTCAATAACATACACTGCATTGAAACAGATGAGGGATAAAACTGTTTAAAAGGGATGTCCAGAGCAAATGCTGCATAGTGGAGTGGACCTGGGGGGAAGGACTGTAAAACAGTGAAAGAGTTTTTCTTTTTTACTCTTCCCAGAGGGTAGTGTACTAGGGGGAAGGTTGTGAGGGGAGAATAGTACAACAGTGAATGAATGGAAATCCAAAGTCTCTGTAAATTTTCATTGAACCTAATAAATTTTTTTAAAATTGTGATTTTAGTGAAAGTTTACAAAGAGGTTAGTTTTTATTCATTCATTCATACACATTTTCCCCTCCTACCCCAGTGCTTTGTAATGCTTGTCCTGTTCCAGATTGTCATGCCCATATCTAATTGTCCATTCCTTTCAGACTGTTCTTTCTTTCACCTATTCACCATGTTCATTATTTATCTGGTCTTTTTTTTTCCTTCTCCATTTCCTTCCTATCCATTCAGTAGTCTTAAGCAGTATTTGTCCTTTTGTGATAGAGATATTTCACTCAACATAATGTCTTCCAGATTCATCTGTGTTGTGTGTTGGTTTACGACTTTCTTGACTTTCAGTGCTGCTTGATTCTTCATTTTGTGAATGTACCACAATTTATCTGTCTATTCATTTGTTGATGGGCATGTGGAAGCTTCCATCTCTTAAGCTATTGTGAATAATGCTGCAGTAAACATGGATATGCATACATTTGTTTATGTCACCGGTCTAATTTCTTTGGGATATATACCTAGTAGTAGAATAGCTGGGGCAAATGATATTTCTCTTTTCAACTTTGTGAGGAAATGCCAGACTGCCTGCCTTCCGTAGTGGTTGTCCCATTTTACCTTCCCACCAGCAGTGTATAAGATTTTCTATCTCTTCACATTCTTACCAGCATTTATTGTTTGCTGTCCTGTTGGACTTTGCTGTTGTAGCTCAAATGAAATTTTATCTCATTTTTGTTTTCATGTGCATCTCTCTAATGGCTGTTGATTTTGAGTGTTTTTCCATGTGTTTATTGACCATCTGTATTTCTTCCTTAGTGATGTGTTCATATTATCTGCCAATTTTGTGATTGCATTGTCTTTCTCATTGAGGTGCTAGAATATTATATAAAGTTTATATTTGAGTCCCTTGTCTGATACACTATTGCTAATTATTTTTCCCAGGCTTTGGGCTTCATTTTAACTCTTGGAGGAAAAGGGGTTTTTTACTTTTTTTAAAAAATTTTTGTTGTTGTGTACTGTCGAATTGGATCCTACAGGAGGAGATTGCCCCTCCTCCTCCAGCAGAGCATCTGGTGGATTTGAACTGTGTGCTTTCCAGATTTTAGTGCAGCTTCTTGCTAGTAGGCCACCAAAGCTCCTCTGGAGAAGTTTTTTGATGCACACAAGGATTTGAGTTTTAGAAGGTCCCATTCATCTATTTTGTCCTCTCTTGGTTGCGGGGTTTTGGTTATGCTTGAAAGTCTTTTCATGCCTGTGCCCCCAGTGGAGAAAGATGTATAATCTCCTATGGTCAGAAACTCAGTAGAGGTTCAGCTATGATTTGGTTCCACTCAGCAAATGAGAATGAAAGTGCTAACATGCAGGTTTAAAAAAAATGTCTGTGTTGTGTTTTTTTTTTTCCTAGTCTGTTTCTAAAGGTTTATTTAAAAATATAAACTATTTTATCAGTATCATGAAGTACAGTATGCATGAATTGTTGAATGGCAAGCCAATTTGCTTTGTAAACTTTGACTCAGTAAAAATTTAATAGTAAAAATACAGAAAAGTATTCATTAGGTCTTCTCAATTTGTTCCTATCTTTTTCTCTGATGATCTTTATAGTCTAGACTTTATTATGCCTAGGTCCTCTAATCCACCATGACTTAGTTTCAGTGTGTAGTGAAGGTGTGGATCTTACTTCAGTTTTCTACAGATGAGTGTCCATTTTTATCAGAACCATTTGTTAAGGAGGCTATTGTTTCCCCACTTAATTGATTTTTGTATCCCTGTCAAAGATCAGTTGACCATAGATAAATGGATTGATTTCTGGCTTCCCAGTTCTGTTCCATTGATCTCTATTATCTGTTGTGTACTTGTACTATGGTATCTTTTTTTTTTTTTAATTTTATTATTTTTTTAAATTTTTTTTTTTTTGTACTATGGTATCTTAATGGAGGTCCAAAGTTTATTCCTTTTCTACTGTCAGAGTTTTAAGTATGCTCAATTTCTGTTTTGTGGTGTTAGTTTTTGTGTTTTTTTTTTTAACTGACTTATAGTTTTTCTCTTTTTCCTCTAAAGGAACCCAAGTTTTAGTAGTATTATTTGATCCACATTATCCTGCTGTCGTCTTTGTTTTTCTCTTGGTTGGTTTTAACTTTTCAATTCTGTTTCATGTTCTCTAGTTTTTCTTAACATCTTGCTGCACATTTTTAAATTGACGGCCGTGCTTAGAAACACTTTTGCCGTCATTTGCAGCAACGTGTTAACTGAATCCCCATGTTACATTAAACAGCATATTTCACTTCTTTCTTGCATCATAGTTCGCTTCTTTCTTATTCTACCTAAAAACATGAGATTGGTGAGAATATTAATCTATTGGACTTATTCTTAAATTAAAATAACTTTATAAAACATCTGAAAAATTTTATGAATACATGTTATTTCTAACACTAGAGGCTGAAAAGATCCTGTGATAAAAGATAAGATCAGAACTACATCAGTAACGTCTTTGTTTTTTAGGTTGCTGGAGGAGCCAATATGAATCAGATTTCCGAAGCACTGAGCAGATACAGGAATAGGTCATGTTTTATGAAGGAAGCCCTCTACAAGCTCTTTGCGGAAACTTTTTCAATGCAAATAACCATGCCTGCCATGTTAAAGGTAATAGCATTTCAAAAAGGCAGTTTAATAGCTTGAAACTTGGCTCAATGAAAAATTACCAAATGAGTACATTGCTCTGAAACAGCTCATGTACCTTGTCCACAAACATATCACAAGAGGCCAAATGCTCTCTTAGAGAAGACAAAAGCATTGTGAAGCTTAACTGCCAGGTTCCTTAAGCATCTGGATTTGCGCAAAATCACTTTGAATCATTGTTTTTATAATTAGTGTAAGAGAGGGAGAAGAAAATTGGATCACTACACTGCTTTTCTTTATTAATATTTCTGTTAGATGGCATAGTTTTTCTAGGCTGTATGTTGAACTCACTGAGGTTGGCTCAGGATAGGGCAAGGTTCATAAGGTAGCTGTGAGTCATAGTCCACATGACAGCATTTAATAACAATCTTCATTGAGACATTTTTCCAGGTATTTCTCCTATGAAGTTACCGTATGGCTTTGAACTACTCATGTTTCTGAAAGCAACTTAAGAGTGCTCACCCTTTGTGGCACATGGGCTCCTTTTTTCCTAAAATAAGACTTAGCAATTTTTAACATGAATTAATTTTGCATTAAAACGGTTTTCTTATTTTACTTACTCATGATACCACTCTTGAAAGCCTAGCATTTAAGAACATCTGACTGAAAACAGCCTCGTTGTCCCTAAGAGGAATGGAAGAAAACTCTAATAAAAGATTGATATGGCCTCATCTACCATTTAAAGTATTTTGTGAATAAAGTAATTACAGATATTCACATAGCTGAGTTTTGATTTAGGGAATGATGAATTTACTTTAAATGTAATTAGAAGAAGTATTTTGGGAAAGAGAACTTTAGTTATTTAAAATGAAATATATATTTTTCAGTATTTTTTTAATACTGAATAAATAAAAGACTTAAGTCATCTTGTAATTTCATTATTTGTAATCTTTGCAGTTCTTTAAATATTATAGCTATTTCTGTAGCACTGAAGATTATTTTCTACATAAAGCAAGAACTATGTAAAGAACTCTGTACTTTTGTTTTACCTGTAATGAGGAAATTGAATTAGATATTCTCATGGTCATTTTCATGTGAGTTTCTGTGAAAATTGTCTATTTTGGTTTTTAGTCTAGGCATCTCTGACGTGCATATGATGCCAATCTCATCAAACCCTGTGGGTAAATCAATACTGTAAGGATAAAAAAAGTCATCTTCTACAGTAGAAATTCATTCAGGATTTCTCTCTAGTATTCATGAGAAATTTATATAGCTGTTGAGGTGGGTCTCTTAAAACCATAGTTTTTTAAGTTTCAATAGATTCCTTTCTGAATTGTGTAGCGCTTACTATTCCTGGTAGAAGAATTGAATCACAATGTCTTCAAATGTTAGAATAGCTAAGAATTTTTTATGATTGTACTCATATATTTTATACTTGTGTCCTAGATCTTCCATAGTCTGGTTTTAAATTTCTCTTCGTAGGTTTATCCCATCTTTTGCCAATTTAGCATTTTTCCTTTTGATTCTTCTATTACCCAGCAAGCCTTTTTAATCTCCACTTCTCCCGCTACCTCAAGCCTCATTGTGCTTTTTGAGTTTATAATAGAAATGATTGCTCTCTTCCTAACAACTTTAGATGGCACTTTAACTTTGTTTATGTCTTTTGGTGCATTTTTCAATTCCCATTTTCTTGATGTGTTTCACAATGTCATTTGTATACAAATATTATTTTCTCCCAAAGCTTTAAGCTTAAGGACAGTATAAGTTTGTGTCTACTGTAGTACCTCTCACAGTGCCTTAAAATGAGTGCTGATCAATAAGTGATTATGAGATTGTTTAATTTTATAAATGAGAAAAGAGAGATTCAGAAAAGGTAAGTAACCTGCCCATAATCCCAGAACTAGTTAATGACTATGTTTGAATTAGGAGGTTATTGCTACTATACTATACCCTAAAGGAAAAGTGCTGAGGCTAGGAAACATATGTTACTGTTCCTACTGAGCAAACATTTTTGCCAACTAACATAAAAACAAGATTGTACAAAATACGTTAATATTGTATGCCACTAAAAATAAGTTCATCTTCAGCTTGTGACTATAGGAATGCGAAACCATCCATTGGATTTGCCAGTGCAGTTCACGGCCAGTGCTTGCGCCCTCAACTTAACACGCCAGGGCCTGGCCAAGGGGATGCCAGTCCGTCTGTTGTCAGAAGTTACCTGTTTGCTCTTCAAGGCCCTGAAAAATTTCCCCCATTACCAGCAGGTAACTAGATTTAGGCTTTTTTACTTCAGGACACATTTATAAAAAAGAAGAATGGATTACTTAGTTCTGGTTTATTATCCTATTTGAGAAATACTGCATAAGAGGTCCATGTTTATTATAGAAAACAAAATATAAGCAAAACACTTCTAAATTACTTATAAACCAGCTGTTGAGCAGTATCATTAATATTTTGGTGTATTCTTTTAAAAATTTATTAAGTTTAACCTTTTTAATACATGTTTTTCTTTTGTATGTTGTCTATTTATCATGACTTTTTTCTGTTAGAGTATTTTTCCTTTTTATTTTTCTAGTACTTTATGTACTTGTATAGTAAAAGTTTGTAACAGAATAGATCCTAAAAGTAGACCAACACATACATACCAGAAAACTAAACCCATTTCCCTGTAGTCTGTTCCACCTCCCAGCATCCCTGTAAGGTAAAAGAACTCCCCTACAGGGTTTTCTAAGACTATACATCTTTCCAGAAACAGACTGTAACACATCTTTCTCCTATACTTAAACCATTGACCTTTTGGTTAGTGGATATTCACTGGAATCAGTACTCTTTAAAACCTGTGTAGATGCCACAGTCAGTCAGTGGGAGAGGGATAGTCTTCTCAACAAAATAATGTAGAAGAATTGAATATTCATATGGAGCAAAATGAACTTTGGCTTAGCTGTCATCAGATGTAAAAATATCACACATCCAAAAACTATAAAAGCGTCTATGAGAAAATATTTGACCTTGCAGTAAAGAACAAAGATTTCTTAGATTATAAAATCAAATACCATAAAAGGACAAAATGCAGAATTGGAATTCATAAAAACTAAAAGCTACTCACACAAATTTAATAAAAATACCTGTCACAGACTGAGAAAAAAAAATAACCATGGGTGTGTATATGCATATTTATGTACATAGAGATTTATTTGTATATGTATACAGACATTTGTGCACACCTATACATAAATCTTTGAATATATACTTTAGTGAATGTATATGGCAAATAACTTTTATCCAGAATATATACTCTAAGTAATGAAAAGAGTTAAGAGATAAGTAGATCTGTAGCATATGCAAGAAAAGATGCCCAGTTTCTTCAGTTTTAGAAAATGAAAATAAAAAATTCTTTATACTATTGTTGTTGTCAGGTACCATCAAGTCAACTATGACTTACAGTGACGCTGTAAAGAACAAATTAAAACCTTAACCTAGCCTGTGCCATCCCTACAATTTCCATCATGTTTAGGCCCATTGTTGCAGTCACTTTGAGAATTTTCACTCTTTCTCCAACCCTTTATTTTTCCAAGCATGTCTTTTTCCAAAGACTAATGCCTCCTGACAACAGATTGCCTAGATTGGCTAAAAAACAAAACATGGAAAAATCCAAGTGTTGATAAGAGTGGAGAGCAACTCGAGTTCTCATAGATTAATGGTGGAAGTGTGCAATACTACCAGTTTAGTGGTTTGATAGTTTCTTAAAAAGTTAAAAATAGACATCTTTTATACTACCCAACCATTCCACTTCTAGGTATTTACCAAACAGTAAAATCTTATATGCCTCTTAGGAGGTCTGTTGATAAGAAGCAGCACTGCAGTCTTGAAGGCACGTGGTTTGAGGCCGGCAGCTGCTCTATGGGAGAAAGATGGGCAGTCTCCTCCTTTTTGATTAACTGCCTCTGAGCAACTGTTGGAGGGTCAGCTCCAACTTTATGGTGCACAGCAGCAGCATGCATAGTAAACTCATATATAGTACATTTATTCATAATGACAGACAACTGGAAACAACCCTCATGTCCAGTATCACATGAATAGTAAAATTATGATTTGTTCATATAAGGAAATACTATTGTTTCTGTTGTTTTATGCTGTCAGTTTGCCACCATAATATGTACAGCTGCTCCTCTGAAGCCTGCCCTGTCCTGTGCCAGTCTCACTGATTCCAATACACTCACCCCCATTGGCAATAAAAAAAAGGAAGGACCAATACATGCAACATAGATGACTCTCATGAAAGTGCTTAACTAAAGTAAGAACCTTAGAAAAGACTGTTGATGTTTTGTGATATACTGCCAATTCAGAACTGATTGATAGCTGACCCTCCAACAGATTTTCAGAGGTTGTGTATCACATGGGAGGAGATTGTCCATCATTCTCTTCCAGAGCAGCTGGTGGTTTCAAACCATGAGCATTTGAGTTGGCAGTATGACTACTTATCACTAAGCTATACAGCAGTTTGCAAAATAGGTATAAATGGAAGGGTGTATAAACAGTGAGTACAGGGCCAGTAGAGGCTGACCTCTGTTAACTTCAGAAGAGAAAAGAATTCCAAACCACAGTAACACCTTATCTCTGAGGTCAGACGTGCTCCCTCATTTTCTAAACTTAACTTAGAGATAATACTGAGGATGATGATGTTTATTAGGAAAGTAACAAATTAGAAATCAGGATTAGGAATGACTGAGGATATTGTTATTCATTCAGGACAGCCTCTTTTAAGCTCCTTATTTTCAGAGTCCAAAGGCAGACTTTTTTCTAGAGTCCTTAGCCTGGCCTGTTGCCCTACTCAGGAAAATATAACAAAGCTCTTTTACGTCTTTCATTTTTAAGTAAGTGTGCAGTGCATCTTTCTCCACTCCAAGCCTGTATTCAAAGACTCTCAGGTGTAGCACTAGGTATCAGCACAATTAGACCTTCCAGAAAAGAGCCCAAGGAATCCACTCCACTACGCCTCTTACCTAAAGGCATTCAGCTTTCTCACTCCATGAGCCTGGGTCCCACAGCTCACTCCAGATTCTGGCTTCTACTGTTTCGTCTTGCTGTCTCTTAGTATCTCATCCTCTCTGTTGTTTAAGCTCTCCATCTCTGGTTTGAGGAATTCTCAGCACAAGAATCTCAAGTCCAAAGAATGTGCTTCTCTCACTAACTTAACTTTGTTGTTGATCACAGTCTGTGCCTCTGGGATGATACCTTTAAATCCTGACCAGTCCCCAAGTTAGATTTTACACATCTTATTTTCATAGTCACTCCAGAAAGTTGTCGTTTACCTTATTTATATTATATTCTTGTTAGCAGCTTATCTAATACCCTTTGTGGGCCACAGGCACCTTACATTGGCATAGTCCTATCTAGCCAGGTGTTAGAAATAATCAAGCGAGAAAAGCCATAGAAGTAATCCACTGCACTGAAATGAGGCACAGTGAAGCTCTTTGGAGTGATCTAAACGTTTTATATCTTGATTATAGAAATGTTTATGCTGGTGTATAAATTGGTTAGAACAAGAGGCTGCTGCATGGTTTAAAATAAGATGATGTCCATCAGGATTGTATATACTCTTTTTTCCATACCTGTTCAGTATGTATGCTGAACAAGTAACTGGAGAAACTAGAATATATGAAAGTAGGCATCAGCATCGGAGATAATACAACTTTGCTTGTAAAAAGTGAAGACTTGAAGACTAGAACTTTTAATATAGATTATAACTTAAGATCAAGAAAACAAAAATTCTCAATGACTGGATCAGTAGTTAACATCAAGATAGATGGAGGAAAGGACAATCTGACCCAAACCATGGTATTTGTAATTGCTTACATGCATCTGAAAATCAGTGAATAAAGAAAACTGAAGAATTGATGCCTTGTATGGTGGTTGTGAAGAGTATCGAGTACATCAAAGACTGCCAAAAGGAAAAGTCTGTTTTGAAGGAATTGCATCCAGGGTGCTCCTTGGCCAGGGATGAAGAAACTTCCTTTCACCTACTGTGGGCATGTTGTCAGGAGGGGCCAGTCCTTGGAAAAAGTCATTCTTGGAAAAATAAGTCAGTGAAAGAGAGGAAGACACATCAGTTGCAACAATGAACTTGAACATATTGGAAATCATGAGCATGGCATAGGATAGGAAAACCGGTAAATTAGTTGTTCATATTGTTGCTGTGAATTGGAACTGAATGATTTGACAGCACCTGACAACAAAAGGCCTCTGAAAAGTTAAAGTCAGGTTGTCACTTTCAGGACTAAGGTGAACCTGACTTAAGCTTTATTAATCATTAGTCACCTCTATATGCATGTGGAAGTTAGACAGTTAAGTAGACTGAAGAAGAATTGATGCCTTGGAATGGTTTGCAAAGTGACTACAACAATAAATTCAACACAGAAATGACTATGAGGATGATGGATGACTGCTTAGTGTTTTTGTTCTGTTGTACATAGGGTTACCATGAAACAAAACCAAGCTGACAGACCCTATCAACATATCTTTCCTCAGATACTTCCTCAAGGAAGCTTTCTGTCTGTCTGCCTGTATGTAAAGGGCTAGGTTCATTCCATACTGTACTCGGGTAGAAAGTAGAAGCTTTATCACAATTAGATCATGTACTCTGACAAGAAGATTTACCATCCAGTAAGTGGATTGCTTTCCACTTTGATTTTTCCAGAGCCTAAGGTAACACACTCTTAGGGTTTTAGACAAAGGTGAATGTCAGAGTTTAAGTAAGCAACTTGGAAAGGGCCAGATACCTTGTGTGTACTCAGTAAGAAATTCATTAGTTAAGTACCTTTATTTAGAAGGGAATATATATTTATTAAAAATTATTTTTCTTTATTCCCTTGAAGTTACAGAAGAATTGCCTTCTCTCCTTAACCAATTCCAGGATTCTTGTAGATGTTCCATTTGACAGGTAAGTGTAAATCTTGGTCATTTGATTGAAATATTCGTCAGTGCTCTTAGTTCCTTCCTTAGTGTGGCCTGATTAGGGATAGGATAGGGTATTTGAAGTACAGACCCTTTCCCACGAATGGGACCTGGATACTCTGCTTTTAAATTGTGTCCTTACGTGATTGCAATATAGGAAGTGGGTAAGAATATGAAATCGGTCATAGCTGGATTCATGGTTTAGCTTTTTCTGTTACCTTTGAGCCCAAGTTTGCTCATTTGCAAATTTGTGATTTTTTATGAGGATTCAATATGATAATGTTGGATAGTATTTGGAAGGCTAGCTTAAGAACTATAGGCTGTTTTAAATATGTCATTTTTTTATATTATGTCTTTTTTTAAAAAAAAAATCACTGTCTCAGGTATAACGGGCTTTATTTGGAAGTAGATGTGTCGGAGTCAGTGAGACTGGCTCAGGACAGGGCAGGCTTCAGAGCTGTTGTGTCGCTGGTGACTCAACAGCACATAACAAGAACAATTTTGGAACAATTGTAGTCTTCCATAGTAATGTATTTAAAAACATAAGAATTGCTATAAATAGAAGAAACAAGCACAGGCTAATGGGAACAATTTGGGACAACATTCAAGAAGTTGGGCTTTTATGAGGAGGAATGTTGCATCAGGATTGGAGCAGGACTCATCAACAACCTACATTATGCAGATGACACAGTGCTGCTGTTGAAACTGAGAAGGACCTGAAGCACTTGCTGTAGTCTTCAGTATGGACTGAAACTCAACATTAAAGAAGACAAAGATTCACCACTGGGCACATTGACGTCACTGTGATGGATGGAGAAGAGATTGAGGTTGTTAACAGTTACAGCTTAGTTGACTCCACAGTCAACACTCTTGGCACCAGCAGTCAGGAAATCAAAAGATGAATTGTACTGGGGAAATCTGCTGTCAGGGACATCCCCAGTGTACTGAAAAGCAATGATCTCAGTTTAGAGACTAAGGTGCGCCTGATTCAGTCCATAATCTTTGCAATTACTTGCTATGCATCAGAGAGCTGGACAATGACTAAGGATGACAGAATTGAGTTGTGGTGCTGGAGAAGAGTCTTGAACAAACCATGGACTGCCAAGAAAACAGATAGGTCTGTCTTGGAGAGGGTGAAACCAACTTGGAGGTTAGGAATTTGAAGCTCTGTCTCACATACTTAGGGCACATGGCCAGGAGGCACTGGTCCTTGAAGAAGGACCTCATGCTCAGAAGCGTGAAGGGACAGTGCAAAAGAGGAAGACCCCTGATTAGATAGATTGATACAATAACTAGAGCAATGGAAGTTGATGAGTTAGAATTGGTGGTGAGACTGGCTCATCACAAGGCAGGGTTCAGAGCTGTACATAGGGGTGCTATACGTCACAGACGACTCGACGGCACATAAAACAATGGGAACAAAATTTCTTTGGACTGTGGATAAATTGTAGGCTAAGGTGCTCTGGATGAGTGATTTATTTGCTGCATTTTAGCACAACTTATAAGTCAAATTCCAAATGACCACTTATTGAGAAACTTCATTTTTGGATCCATAATAATTGAAACTGTTCATGCTTTTTTTGGATCCTGTGTATTTTACTCCTATGCTTATTTATATGCTCCCTTTTTCTCTTCTACTCTTCTCCTGTTTGCCAGATGCTCTTCGTTTCTTAACTGAGGTTTAGAAGTCCAAGGCTATTTCTATTGCTGTTAGAAGAAAGACTTAGAGGGAAATGCTAAATAATTTCTTCTCTCCCCAAATAGAGTGCCACAAACTTTTTTAACTGTGAGAAAAACCACTACTACTTTTCAGATTTGATGCTGCCAAGTTTGTAATGAAGTGGCTGTGTAAGCATGAAAACCCCAAGATGCAAACAATGGCAGTGAGCATCATATCCATTCTTGCCCTGCAGGTATGTGATTTCAAAGGCAAGATTCTCTCAAGTTTTAATGGAGTTTCTGTATTTCACTTACTTTATATTTGCTTTTAGCTTTCACCTGAACAAACTGCACAGCTCAAGGAAGAACTCTTTAGGGCAATCAGGGTAGGTTAATTATAATTGTTATTATCTT